CATTTCGTTTTCTTTAATCATCTTATATGATTATTCAATCATATTTCACACCCTAGGATTGTTCTACACGTTGGGATGTATAGAAAGAGGGGTTGGAAGGTGGTTCTAAGTCCAAGAACGGACTTAGAAGCCAAAGGACCGGTTCGCCGGAAAATAACCTTTTGAAGGTTATTTATATTACTATGGGTTTTATGATGATAAAACCTTGTTAGTAACTTGTCTAAGGTATTCAAGGAACTTTCACGGGGTTGAAAAGGTTGCCGGAGTTGTCGCCGGAGTTCGTCGAAGTTCGCCAGAGTTTCACCGAAGCTAAATCGGGAAGGCTAGGACTTCATAAGCTTCATTAAGGTGAGAAGACGGCTTTATGCTTTATAACTTTTGCGTGAGGCATGAGATTACCTAAAGTAATCAAGGATATGTTTTGTGGAATGATTAAAGATAATCAAGTATTTGCTTATGCCATGATTTTGCATAAAACATAGTTGAAAAGCATGTTATGTAGGTTTGGTGATTAAAAATGTGACAACATATTTTGTGTGATGATCCAGGGATCCAAAATGGTATTTTTGGATCAAGGACATCAAGAAGTATATGTGTATAAAATTTCAAGATAATCGGACTCCGTTTGGGGGGTCAAAAGGGGCGTTGACCGCCAAGTCAACTGCCATACCCGACCGGGTATTGACACATACCCGACCGGGTATTTGCTGAAAAATTGCCTAGGGGGCTACTGTCTCCTATACCCGATCGAGTATAGGTAGATACTCGATCGAGTATACATGGAAAATTAGCTTTGGGGGCTACCGCCTCCTGTACTCGACCGAGTATGGGTAGATACTCGTTCGAGTATTTGTTTATGCTCAAAACGGGCAGTTTTGAGCGGGTTAATGTGGGCCGTTCAGGTGGGACCCGCCCACATTGGTTCCTAAGGATGGTTATATGACTATAGGACTAGGTATTGGCCATAGTTGAAGGAACGAAAGGTTAGCCATATCCAGGTTAGGGTTTGGTAAGGATTTAGTTTGGGGTTGAGTATCCCCGGGACATGCAAATGATCTTGAAACTCGGTTGGGGTTGAGCATCCCCGGGACTATACATGATCCTGAAACTCGGTTGGGCTTGAGCATCCCCGGGACATTAAATGATTCTGAAACTCGGTTGGGGTTGAGCATCCCCGGGACTATACATGATCCTGAAACTCGGTTGGGGTTGAGCATCCCCGGGACTGCAAATGATCCTGAAACTCGGTTGGGGTTGAGCATCCCCGGAACATTTAATGATCCTGAAACTCGGTTGGGGTTGAGTATCCCCGGGATGCTAAGTGCTCCCAAAACTCGGTAGGATATTTTAAATGTAGAATGTAGCTGGTGAGCTAAGCATTCGGGAAAAGGGTGAGAAAGGTCAGGTAAGAACTTTGTCTCTAAAAGACTCTTTGAATGAAATGACCTACGGGTCGAGTATTTTACATATATATACAGTATGTATCATCGGATGAATGAGTTATATATATATATATATATATATATATATATATATATATATATATATATATATGTATCACCCTATTTTTGGGTCTCGTGTCTGAAACATTAGTTATTCTTCATATAGTCTGCTTGTCACTAGTACTTCTATGGAGTACTGACCCCTCCGGGGGCCCTCACATTTTTCAGGTTGAGGTTAGAGTCCTACTACCTGCACCTTTGCCTAGGGTGATTGACCAAGAAGGAAGACGTGGTTCGTGCTTCCATTCTTATTTCAAATATATAAACTGCTCATGGATTTTTGAACAATATTTTCATTAAAACAGTTGGGGGCCTGCGTGCCCGTGTTTGCCACGTGTGGCTAAGTATCAAACATTTTATTATTTCCGCATTTGTTTGATTTTGATATTGATGTTGATTGTATGTGTTCACTAATCGGTTTGGCAATAGAATCAATCGGACGCCTTGTACAACTCAATAGAGATGAAATGTTGTTGTTCTTATCGGGTTGTACGGCGGTTGTCTACGTGGCTCGGATGCGGTCCGGGGCGTGACAGGTGAGGTGGGAGCCTTTTGTGCTATGTACACTGCCGTGTAACCCGGCGTGTACACATAGCATTTTTTATACAAAAATGGTACATATTAGATCTTCAAAAAATTTATTTGTACTTTGTACATTTTATCGATATCAGAGACAATTCTTTATAAATAGTAAAAGTTGTGTGCGACACAGAAAATATAAAAGCGTGTACATGTTATTAAGAATTATTTTGTTACATTTTTATATTCAGTTGAGAATTGCAATACATCAGACGCTAAACAACTTTCCAACTGACCAATTTTAATTGTATAGTAATATCAAACACCCAAAATTTAGGTGTAAACATTTAATTGACTCGTCCTTTCATGTTACCAAGCAGCAAGAAATCAACAAAATGATGTGTAAACAACACTTATTAAAAATGTGAATGACAATCCTTATTAAAAAATTCAAAAAAAATCTTGGCAAAGGTAGCTGGTTCTTGGTGTGAAAGTCGAGTTTGTTTTTTGATTCCCCCACCTTTCATTACCGATGTATTGAACAATGATTTAGTTAATAGCAATTGATTTTATTTTTTCCAAAAAAAATGTGAATGACAATCCTTATTAAAAAATTCAAAAAAGTTCCATAAGGCAAATCCTTCATAGAAGAACATCGAGCTAATAGAGCAATAAACTTGTGAATGAGGATTGAGGACACACGAATTGTCAGTGAGAGTAAAATCACCAATATATAAGAGGATGTACATAAAATGAGTGATGACGAAAAATAAAAAATGAACTATCAGACGAACTATAAGTGAATCTATGACTCAAAATAAAACTACTAAAATGATGAAACCAAACTTGAGAGCCTCTTTAAGAAAGATCATAGCTGCCTTACGAAGACGGAAAAAATGATGACGAAATTGAGGATGAGCAAAATCAATAGGTTGACACGTGTAAACTTCTTCGTACCATGAACAAAAACATTCTTAGCATGTAATAATTGTAATTGTTGTATAAATCAATCAGGAAGATAAAAACAACACAAACTATGAATAGTTTAACTGAATTAAAAGTTTTCATTCGAAAAATTGATCAACACCCGCTTGTTGAGTAAATCCTTGAGGGAGTAAATCCTCGGGGAATAAGACCGTTTTATAACGTTCAATAGTCTCATCAAGACCATATTTTAGTCTTTAAAATTCATTTAGAACCAATGACATTCTTATTAGAATCAAAAGAAGCTAAGTGACAAATATGATCAGGAATCAGATTATTGAACTCTTCGGCCATAACAGCCCTTCATTTAAGATTTTTATTCCCAACCGAAAAGAGGGTGGATGAATTGATTACATAGTATGACAAGTGTATTTAACTTAAATATAGTATTGGGTTTAATTTGAAAATGGCCTACTACATGGGATGCACTGCACGTTAGTTGGGTAGGGGATAGATCGGTGAGGTGATGGGACGTAGAGAAGAGGGGAGAATAGGGTTGTCGGGTGCAAGGAAGTGAATGCTCCAGACGGAGATCGAGCTAAAAGGATTTGTAATGTCACAATATCCACGATCCACATCTAGTACGAGAGAAATGAATACATAGAAATAAATCATTAGTATTTTTCACATTCTTTTCACGGTTTTATATAAGATCGTTCCGAATATGAAAAGATAATTTTGCTTATTAATATTTGTGTATCTGTCTCTCTCATGTCACATGTGTACCGTGCACATATATTATGACATTATAGATGCTCTAAGAAGAACACTCTGGAATGTAGTAACTCTATTATAGCCACTAATACTTCTACGAGAAATATGTTGTTCGTACACGTCATTTTAAATGTGGGATGAATTGTCTGTGTCTAGGCAATTTTTTTTTCATTTTGTGAAGAGAATCATCATCATCAACAACAACAACAACATCATCACTACCCCACTGCCACAAAGGCTCTCCCACCTTCAGTGGGGTAAGGGGTGGTCGGATGTACACAGTCTTACTCTTGTACTAAAGCACAAAGAGACTGTTTCCGGATGGTCCATAGTAAAAACCGCGTCGAAAATTGCTGCTTCATAACAAAGAAGCGTAGACAGTTTGGTGAGTCACTTTGCTTTATTCCATCATATTCCCAAGTCAAAAAATAGTGAGTCATGATCTGGCTATAATGATGTTGATGATGTGAAGAGAGTCATTTTTCACACCGACAATTTTTTTCTATATTATAATGTTTTTCAAATATTATTAAGATTGCATATACTACCTCCGTCCCACTAACATGAGACATGAGGAGGTGACACGGTTATTAAGAAAAATGATTTTATGTGGTTGATATTGAATTGTTAAAGTAAGAATACAGTAAAAATGATTTAGAATCACACAAATTTTACCAAACTTGATACAAGACAATCTTAGTGGAATAGAACGAAAAGGAAAAATACGACAATCTGAGACATGCTACATAAAAGATTTTTATACTCCATTCGTCTCATTGGACTTTGCAACTTTTCTTTTTTTGTTGTCCCAAAAAACTTTGTCACTTTCCTATTAAAGCAAATAATTTGTGGTTCTGCACATTTCTCTCTACCCTGCACAAATCTCAACCACACAGATTTTACTATTCTTATTTCTCACCTACTTTGCATTTGGCAAAGTCTGTCGGGGACAGAGGTAGTACTTTTTCAAGGATTAAATCCGTTATAGCTTACCTGTTTTAGGCCCTCAAACGTAACCAGTAGTACCAGCCAATTGAAGGCCCTTCAGAAATTAGTCATTTCCTTAAATGTACTTGCTGACTTAATAATTGCCTGCATTAAATGAAATCTACTGGAAATGGCAGATCAGTGGAAATGAAACTAAAGTTAGATTTTAGGTCAAATAGTGCTAAGGTCAGCGTTCCCATTGTGTAATCTATATATATATATATATATATATATATATATATATATATATATATATATATATATATATTGTTCTGATATGAGTACATAGCCAGTATTATGCCTAGTTTTGCTGTATTACTATCATGGCTGTCTTGTACATTTTTCTCCTATTCTTTTTTATTTTAAATATGGAGGCCATGACTTCAGCCACTCTAGAAGATTATCATCAATTGAATTTACCAACAGGAGTTGTTGGCCCTGAAAGTCTTGCTTTTGATTGTAATGGCCAAGGGCCTTATACTGGTGTGTCAGATGGAAGAATTTTAAGATGGAATGCATCAAATCAAGATTGGGTTGAGTTTGCTATTACATCACCTAATAGGTATGCAATTTTGTTTATGACCTACTTTGAGTTTGATTTAATGTTGTATATATTGAATGGTAAATTGAGATAGGCAAGCAATTCAAAATATGACATTATATTATGGTGTATTATTGATATATTGAATGATTTTATAATCTATGGACCGATCTCTTCATATTTTCTTGTTAGTAGTTTATCTAATCATTTTTAGAAATAGGGTTTATTTTCCTTTATAATCTGTTTTAGGTGTTTTTGTAGAATTATGACATTATATTATGGTGTATTATTGATGTTTTAGAAGCTAAAAATTATTTAACCATTTCTGTAAAAATGATTTCGTAAAAGAAAAGGTGGGAGGGTTTAAAGATGAATTAATTAAAATGAAAAGATTAGTAAAGAGCTGACAGATGAATTGTTTTACTTGATTGTTTTCGGTTCCATACCAGACTAGACAAGATCGACCAAATCAAAACAAACCAAACTAGATTTGAACGGTTATAAAATACATAAGGACCAGACATCTACCAAACCAGAACCGACTAATTCAGACCAAATCCAACCAAATTAAATCAGACCAGAAAATATCAGTCCCATTAAAAATTCACGTGTTCGTGGGCCGAGATTTTATGCCCACAATGATTTTCTCGACACAAATAATTTTGTATACATTGTGTAATTGTTTTAATAAAGTAATTGTTTTAAGTAGGAGTAAAATAGTGAAACAATGAGGGTATGTGTTTTTAATTCGATATAATAACAAAAATAACACTATCGGTTTTCAATTGGATAAAAATATGATCTTTTTTTGTTTTGGACAAAAAAGAGACTAAAAATATTTCAATGTTCTAAAACACCCGGAATAAAGAAAAGTCTCCTTCCGCCATTCGATCGATCTTCTACCTTCGAATCCGGCATCTCCCATGCGCCTTTAGTGTGAGCCACTGTCACATATCACCCCATCATGGCCGTCAATCCAAGGCCATCATCTCTGTCATTGCATCCAGGTCCAGATGCATCGCCGCCTTCCTCCAAGTTCATATTCTTCATCTCTCTTCTCTCCTTTCTTCTTCTCAATAATGGATGATTTTGTTCGATTTCTGATGGAGACCGCGAATAATGGTAGACATGGCTAGCTAACGACATTTAGGTGGCCGAATCCGGCGGCGGTGGAGAATGGACAACAATGGCTAGGGTTCACGGTTTTTGAAAATGCAAAGAATCCAAAGCACTTGAGGTGGGCGACGACTACACCTTGTTGACAGCCATGGTAGGGGTGGGCACGGTTGGTTAACCGCATTTCGGTTAACCAATTTTTGGTTAACCGTGATTTCGGTTAATATGTTTATAATATCATTAATCGTACCGTAACATCGATTAACTATGTAAAATTTAACCGTAATATAGGTTAACCAATTATTGGTTAACCAAAAAACCATTTGAACAACTAAAAATGTGCCGCCTCGTATAATTGAACATCTACGGCTCAATTATGTGCTAGCATTCCTATGATTACGTTCTCATGTTGTTTACTCCCAGAGATTTTGTTGTCCAGTAAGAATCGGACATAGCTCCCCTACAAGGTTTTCCATATACTCAGTATTATTGAGCACTGAAGCGGTGCATATAGTCTTCCAGTGGGATAGACACCTGCCTCAATTGTGATTGTGCCGTATGAAAAATTACTTCATTAATTAATTAATTAATAACTAATAATAATATAATAACTCCAATCTCAATGAACCACCACTTTTTTGCTCGACTCTAATATTAACAGTTTAACAGACATGTTGTTATTCCCAGTACGAGACCATACTCACGGACTCACGAATACTTGATTGTGACATTAGTTTAGATGTAATATTTAACTTTGGATTATCAGTTAACCGGTGGTAGTTTAGTTTCAAAACCGTAATCATACCGTTTAACGTTGTTTTCTTTCGGTTGGTTAACCGTACCGTGACTTTTTTAAAACATGGTATGGTTGACCGGAAAAACACAAGTTTTTCGGTTTATTTAGTACGATTAATCGGTTACGGTTTTTTATGCCCACCCCTAGCCAGGGGGATGTGGTGGATTTATCTCGTTGCGGTTGTTGGTGAGGGAGTTGTCAGAGCGGCAATAGTCATCGACGGGGAGGAGGCGATGGTAAACAGTGGTTGGGGTGGATGTGGTGGTGGGATGAGGCGATTGTCGGGTCCGGGCGGCGATTCTGCAAGGGAATGGGGGGTTGGAGAGAGGGGTTGGAGAGAGGGGTTGTAGGGCGCCGTGGTTAGCGTCGGGGCAAGGTGACAGTGTCACGTGCAACAAGCGGTGTTCACTAGCGGTGGGCGGTGGTCATTGGTTGGTGGTGGTCAATGTCGAGTCGGGTAGCTGTCACAAGTTCACTATCCATGCGGGCGATCATTGATAGTGGATTGTGGTTACTGACTAGGTTTGTCACTATGGGGTTAGGTAATTGTAACTGGGTCACCTCCTGATATCGGTCACCGTGCGGTGGGGGCCACAGCAGATTGGGTCACTATCATTGTGGGGGCCACAGCAGATTGGGTCACTATCATTGTCAGACATGGTAACCATCACTGGGTGAGATTGAATAACGATCATTGTGTGAGATTAAGTAACTATCACTGAGTGAGGGCGGGGTATAAAAGTCATATAAGTCTCTTTTTTGGAAACTTTCAAAAATAGTTCTATTTTTCCATGAATTTTTATTTAGTACTATCACTTCCAAAACCCCTTTTAAGAGTCCGTTTGGTAACACGAAAAACGACTGGTTCGGTTGATTTTGTTGAAATTTATGAAGTTCTGACTGAAGTTGCATTGGATGATTCTGTTGATATAAGAAAAAATTATTTTTAAAATATATTTTATTAATAAAATAAATAAAAAATTATATGTAAAAATAGTTAAATTGGTCATCTACAGTAACTTCAGCCAATACAGCCAGAAAAGTAACTTCACTCTTACTTTTTTTATTACTCCGTATTACACAATTCAGCGCGCGAAAACAAAAATTACGTGTTTGATGAAAAATTTGGTTGATAAGTCTCATAATCCGAAAAATAGTGTTATCAAAGGGCCTCTAAATCTCAAAGGCATGAATTTCAATTCTTATTATACTCATGCCTCAAACACTAGCTCCTCTACGGATCTGGAGCCTTTGCCTTGCTTTTGAGCAAGGTAGAGTGTCTGGCTTCCTTACAGTCATCCGATCGTAAATTCAACGGTCGTAGATCTTGGGGTCCACACTTTCACTGATCTCGAGGCCGTGCTTGTCCCTGCCGGAGCGTCCGATGCGCAAGGGACCCTACCGTGCGGCAGAGGATCCTGATCCCCTCCTCTACCCTCTCTTCTCCCTCCTCCCGTGTTCCCCTTTCCCGTGTATGAATCTAAGCTATCGCATCTCTCCTCTTCTTGTGTCGATCTCTAGACATTCGGTATGGACTATGATATTACTCCCAAACTCCTTTATTCTGATCTTATTTTTTGATTGATATTGATCAACTTTGTGAAATTTCCAGGTTATTGGTAATGTCTAATTTGATATGTGGTACTCCGTATTTGATTTTCATTACTTTTAAATTTTTTATTTTATATATTCTTTTTTAATGAATTTTCAATTTGAAAGTGACATAATTACTAATTTTACTTTTACACTAAAGATGTTTTTACTTGGACTATAATTCGTCCCAGACCAGACCAGACTTGTATAGTTATAAAAATACAAAAAAAAACAGATCAGACCAAACCAGATCAGACCAGACCAAACCAGACCAGCAAATTACAGTCCAAGTAAAAACATCCTAAATACTATTGATTCCAACATTGAGCTAAAAATAAATTTCATTTAGAGATGGATCTGAAAATTGTCATGTTTGGCATTGCCTTTACGAAGATGGAAATATTATTTCATAATACAAAGTGATATTATGAGATTGAGTCTTTGTGTTATGATCGGGTGGGGTGAATGTACAAGAGTCTTATGAGCTCCTAATCCTTAAAAAGATTGGGGGGTTGTGTTTCCCACCACTCTTATAATGCCATGTTTTTCAATTTGAAAATGTTTTTGCTAAATAATGTCATTTTCCATGACACTTTTCCAAGGCATCAATATATCATTATTAAGTTCAAGATAGAAATACGAATCATATTTGTGGTTTTACAAAGATTCATATTTTTTGACGGTTTTTCCAAGTAGGGGATCTGCCGTGGTCGCACGGGAAAATACTCTTTCTAAAGGCAATGGCAGGAGGTGGCAACTTTATCGGAGGAGGAGATTGTCGGAGGAGGTCATCTCCAGCCAAAAGGGTGGCGGTAGTAGTTTCACTGAAGAGTGGCAGTGACGGCGTTTCAGGAGAAAGTGTAGGGCATCGTCGGCACCGCTAGAGTGCGAAAGTGGTGTCACGATTTTTAGATAATAATAAAATAAAATAATTGGAGTCTATTCTTAGAAGTAATTTGGGTGGATATATAATATAATTGGGTAATTGCTAGATAATGTTTACGATGTTATAAGTGTATTATTTTTAGTATGTGATTATCACATTATCGTTTAATAGTGTTAATTATTTCCTAAAATAGAAATCATGAACTTTAAATGGGACGTTCAAAAATGCAAGTGAGAACCTTTACTTAAGACTTTAACGGACTAAAAATATATTTTAAAGTGTATACAAGATATTTACTTGACCCTTTAAATCCTGCATCCGCTCAAATATTCTTAATTATAATGAGCTAATGCCATAATGTCAATGATGTTTTTGATTAGGGATAGAGTGTTATGTGATGGAACAAATGACCCTAATAGAGAGCCACAATGCGGCAGACCACTAGGTCTAAAGTTTCATCCCAAAACTTGTGAACTTTATATAACGGATGCTTATTTTGGATTGATGAGAGTTGGATCAAATGGTGGAATTGCTACTCAACTTGCAAATTCAGCTCAAGGAACTTCTTTCAAATTTCTTAATGATTTAGATATCCATCCTACAACTGGAATTGTCTTTTTCACAGATAGCAGTCTTCGCTATCAAAGAAGGTATCACCTAATTATTTATATTTAAAATTTGCAACATTAATTATTGGTTGTTTGCACACAATCATGTATATGTTTCTCAATTATATGTGATCAGGGACTTTTTACAGATCATTATAAATGGAGATAGCACTGGACGGCTCCTGAGATTTGACCCAACTACCACACAAGTGAGCGTATTATATAGTGGGTTAGCATTTCCAAATGGCATTGTTCTATCAAGGGATAATACTTATCTCCTTGTAGTTGAATCAACAAAATATCAAATTCTAAAATTCCCACTTACTAGATTTGATATAGGAGTCCCATATTTTTTTGCTAAAGTGGATATGTTCCCTGATAATATCAGAAGGAATGGTCAAGGAAACTATTGGGTCGCAATGAACACACTAAAGGTAGGATACTTTGACGAGTTATTGGGTGTGTTGTTTGATGAAAATGGAAGAGCAATTCAAGTTATGAATGGTGATGGTGGTGATACTCTTGAATTTGTAAGTGAAATTGAAGAGCATAATGGAAGAATGTGGTTTGGATCACCTATACAACCTTATGTTGGTACCGGAATGAATTTTTATATTTAATTTTTAAGTAAATATACTAGAGAGAGAGAGAGAGAGAGAGAGAGAGAGAGAGAGAGGAGAGCATGATCTAAGGAGAGAAGGGAACGAATCGCAAGCTTTATATTCGGAAATTGTCATTATGTAATACAGAAATGTGCACTATCATGAATCGAAAAATGTGGAGGTATTTTTGTAAATACATTCAACTTTTTCGTCCACTTGAGTTGTACGTTATTATAATCATAATTGTCCATCATTTCAAGACATGCTCATTTCACCCGGGAAGAAATTATCTCACCAGAATTAGACCCTATATATAACTCCTTTATGAAATGGCATACATGTTTTGTGGAAACCAATTGGTTTATTTATGTGTTATTGTGTTTAGTTAGTCTATTTCATACAATAAAAGTTAATTACAATATTAATGATTTTCTTTTAATGAAAGGTTAATGTAAGCTCAATTCATTTAAATGTCACAGTTCATGCAATATCTACATGATACTAGGTGGTTAACATATGATGGAGTTTAATATCCACTCATTTTGTCCTGTTTTACTTGTATTTTTTTTTTATTTGTCTCCAAGTAAGTGTCACATTTCCCTCATTTTGACATGTCACTTTATTTTTTGATCGTTATACTTGCACCATAACATAGCTAAATATTCACCACTGACCACATCTTATTTCAATTTTCTTAGATTCTATGTCATATAAGCAAATAAATTTACTAACCAAACATTCCAGCCCAACTGGTTGTCAGGTTACCGTGCCTAGTGAGAGGTCTCGAGATTCCCCTTTCCCAGACCCCCTGGAGTAAAAAAAAACAGCAAATAAATTTACTATGTACTTTAAAATATGACTTTTAAATTACTAAAGAATAGTCGTGACATGATAACAAGAAATACAAGGATTAACTCATTAGAAAATTTTGAGAATCATGTTCATTTATCACATCAACTTGCTCCATGAATCATGATGAACATACTACGTATATTGGTGGCTCCAAGCCTCCAAATATATTTCAGTGATGTATGGAAAACATTAAGAGCTCCTTTGAGAACTCTGTTTTTCGGCTTATCAGGCTTATCAACCAACTTTTTCACCAAACACGTAACTTTTGATTTCACGCGCTGAAATGTGTAATAATAAGAAAAAGTAAGGTTGAAGTTACTTTTCTGGCTGTATCGGCTGAAGTTACTGTAGAGGAACATTTTAGCTATTTTTACATATATTTTTTTCTTTATTTTATTAATAAAATATGTTTTAAATTTATTTTTTTCATAAATCATCAGAATCAGTCAATACAGCCACTTCAGTCAGAACTTCATAAATTTCAGCAGAATCAGCCGATATAGCCGATTTCAGTGTTACCAAACGGGCTCTAAAATTGTTTTTGCTTGGACTTATTTCAGTTTCAGACCAGACTAGATCAGACCAAGTCAGATCAGACCACACTTCGACAGTTGTAAAATACACAGAGATTAGACATTTACCAAACTGGATCAATTTAGACCAGACCAAATCAGACCTGAAAATTTCAACTCACATAAAAACATCCTATGTGCAACTATTCAAGAAATAGGTGTGTTTGATCAAATTCTTGACAATTATGCTTCAACCTTCATACTAAAGTTCATGTGTTTTACTACTCTCCAATTAGTATGTTCAAGGTTTATACTATGTGTATAATGTAATTTAGTAATTTACTATTGTCTCAATTTGATCTGATCTGATTCGATCTAAATTGATTTGAATTAGGATAGGAATCGATTCAATTAAAATCATCATTACAGTTAACAGGATTTAAAATATTTTTTTTTCATTTAACAAACAGAAGTTGGAGATAAAGATTTTGAATGGTGACCTCCATTGTACTTCATTTCACGAAGGGAAAACTTCTCAAAGTTTATACACACGGAAAAGTTATTTTGGATAATTTGAGGGGAGCCAGGTAATGGCATAATAGAATACAATAACAAATATTCAGGTCTTAATCTCAAAAGATTTTGGATCAACTAACAATTAAATACTAATAATTAAATACAGAATATGAAGTATAAATATAATGTTTTAGCAGCTAAAGATTACCAATATTCGCTTTAAATATTGATAAGTCATTATATAAAAAACAAGTGAATTAACGTGTAGACGGTCTACCATATTCATTCTATACTATTTGTTCCCTTGACGACTTTGTATTCAATCTAATCCTCTAGTTTTTGTTTTTATATAGCAATTTTATTATATTCATATTCGGTTTTGCAATTCAAGTGCACTTTATATGTAAACTTGGTATAGTTGAATTATACATTGGGGTCAAATATTATACAAATGACTCAAAGTTTTTATCCTTTTAAGCTTGAAATCGAGTAGCTACAATTCTATTTCAATTTTTGTTGCGGCTCGATTTCTTATGCTTGTGGTTTGACTTTTGTCGATTCTCCATTAGCTTCTTGAAGCAACCGGAATTTCTATAAACACTGATTTGTTTACAACTCTATTACAATTGGGTAAAGCATTGAAGTAACATTTCACAAAAGCAAACAATCCCACACTTATTTTTTATATACTACAAACAGTTTCCTATATATGTACCAAAGCAAGCAAATAGATGTTGATATTCCTTGGGTTGCAGTATTGTGACATACAGGTGGGAAGAATTCATCATCAAATGCCAGAAAGGCCAGAAAAAGACCGCAGATTTTCAACAATGGAGTCTATAACAGATTGCGAGATGCTTTTGGTGCCTGAAAAGAACAGATGTTTGGGTGCTTCAGCTCTGTCAAAATAAAACGCTCCAGGAACCAATTTTTCTTTCGGCTGCAAGGCCAACCACACTACTGTATCTGCTCCTTCTTTGCTTGTCCTGAGCTTCCCTTCAAATCTGGGAAAAATAACTCACATTAATATCCATCTATATCTGCCCAAGCTTTTTTCCCTTTTTTTTTCATATATATGCTCGAGCTTATCGGCACAGACTAATGGGCATGAGGGTGGGAAAATGATTCATCACTTGAAGAATCATGAATGGGCATTAAAACTAACGTAATGTTCAAACAGTGTCCTAAGAAGCACTAGGCGGCCTTTGAGGGTGGACATTCAGAAACTTGTACCTATCAAATGGAGGAGCGGCACATGACCACCTTACAAAAGTGTAAATCATAATTTGACTAGAACCGAATTGGAACCACCAGTACTAAGAACCGCGCCTGTGCCCATTTAAGGTTCTGATACACTCAAATAGGGACACTCAGATACACTCGGGGCTTTGGATAACTTTGTTGAAAAATAGGGATATGGGAGGGAGTACTTACGATTTTGAGAAGGTCGGGAGGCTATTTGCAACACCAGGAGTCTCTGCCCATCCAGGGTGCATCGAATAAAAGCCAATACCCTTTTGTTTATGCATTTCAGACCATTTCTCTGTCAATGCAACCTAACATAACATAACATAGAAATCTTTATTTTCGTAATATTATAAGGTGATATTCTCAACCAAGTGACTAACAAATATACAATATGCATCAAGTTATATAGTAGCTCAACTCTAAACAATATCACTCATCATCATCACCGCCGCAATCCCAATAATATCAGGTCCGATGACATTAGTATAGTATCACTTAATTGTCAAAACCAGTTAAACAAAAGAAAAGAGTAGCAAAAGTGTAGAGGCTGAATTTCCTTCATGTGTTAATGGAGATAAATAAATATGACAGCCTGCTGGGTTGGTTGACTGGCATGAACCCGTGAACAAAGAGTTCTCTGTGCAACGCCACCCGAGCTCGACTCAAGAGGGCCACTTGAAGTTTACAAGGCCATTAAATTTAGGGCCTGTGTGATGATTCTAGCCAAAAGTTTAAGGCACCCGTGTTATAAAAATACGGAGTAAATAAACAAATAAACAAGGCTCGCCAAAATTTGTTAAGCTGTGCTGGGTAAGAGTAACCCTATGTTTAAATCATTATGAAAATAATAATTAAGCTTTAAGATAATACATGCCTGCACTCGCTTATTACGAGCATATTGTTCAACACCGTTGAATACGTTTCCACTAAACTGCAAAACAAAAACAATATATTAGAGCTCAGAACATAAATGGTCCGTGCAAACAAAATGAAATATAATGCTCGTAATTCAACCTGTAAATCATTCGTTAAGGGGGAAGTGTACATTCCACCAGATGAAACTGTAATCACCCGTGCATCAGGTGCAGCCTTCTCAAGGAGTGGCAACATCAGCTCTGTTATGGTATAAGTTCCAAGAACGTTCACAGCAAAATTTAGCTCATATCTGATATTGGTACAAGAATATCGCGTATTGTTATCACCTTATTTATCAACAATGTTTATAAATATAAAATCATTTTCTTGAAAGAAAATTCGATATACCCTTCTGGTGTAGTAACTCTATTGTTCTCAAGAAGTCCAGCATTATTTACCTTAAGAAATAAGATACTATCAGCTACAAAATCTTGAGTGATCAAAGGAAAGCCAACCTATAATTAACTTGCAGTACAAACAAACCAAAACAAATAACATTGTCCAATCAATGAAATGTTATATTTTAAGATAAAAAAACAGGGGGAAATACCAGGACATGAATAGGCAAATTTGTTGAACAAAATCTGGAGGCAAATGCTTTAATATCACTAACAGATGAAATGTCACACACCTGCACACACAACAACAAAAAATGCTAAGTTATCTACAACACATACAATGACTTGTACAAATCATTCAAAGGATACTGAGCCAATTACTTCCAAGAAAACATTCTTATTCCCAGTTGTTGACTGGATTTTAGAAAGCGCTGCTTCTCCCCTCTCCTTATTCCGGCACACCATATACACAGTTGCTCCACTGAAAACACATATCAAGATCAGTGTGCTCATAGCATCGGAAAAACTTTAGAACTTTTGTAGGTTAATAAGAAAAAAGCTAATTCAAAAAAGGTTGAACCGAAATGACTCCAAACCGTGAAGCAAGGCCCTCAGTAATTGCAAAACCAATGCCAGAATTTGCACCAGTAACCACACAGTTTTTAGCTTCCATTCGCTGCTCCATATCTTCAGGTTTGAATTTTTTTGAATGTTCCCTGGATTATATTAACAGCGCTTAAATTTGGATATACTGTCAAGTAAAATAAGACTATCAACGGCCAACTTGAAGATATCATTCCAAAGATATCAATAGTCTATTAAAAGAACATATAAATATCATTCCAAAAAAGGGTTGTGTTTCTCAAAGGTACAACTTTTGAATCATACTAAAGTACAATTATTGGAGATCATCAACTCTAGCTATATTTAATATTTGACTTTTTAACATAAAACAAAAAAAACTTTATATAATGATATAATTAAATTTATCTAAATTGTTTGGGACACTTTTTGGGAAAAAAACACATCAAATATACAGTAATAATTTAGCTTTTTATCTCAAATAGGATACTTTGTGTGAAAAAAATCAGCGGGCTCCATTTGTGGGAAGGAGGGAGCAATTGCCAACATTTTGTTATTTTCTATGTTCTGCCTCAAGAATGATGCAGGATGTGTAACTCGTAGACAATCTTTCTAACATTTAGCCCTTATGCGGATAGAAGATTTAAGATGGGAAGGGTGATATTTAATGTAAATAATTAATTCTTACATTTCAGATGGGAGGGGGTGTTATACAGTGATCCATTATTTAAGTGAACATATAGTTGTTACTACATATTTTTTGGTCTACAACTAATAAATAGAGATATGTTAGTAAAGCCTACCATACCCTCCAAGACCACCCAATCAACAATCCCTTAAGGTACTGAAACTCTGTCATTCTGTCAAAAGAGTATAAGACTATTTAACACGGATACTCTCGGGAAAGAGTACGTTTCTGTTTCGGGAACTCTACGGAAACTCTTTAGAATCTCTCCAAACAAGCGTTTTTTGAGCAAAAGTTGACGTTTCCCGTTTCCTCCTGGTTTTCGCGTTTCCGAACAAAACCTATTAACTCATCTTCAGTTTGGTTAGTGGTTTACAATTTTGGGTTCAAAAAAGACCAAACCGAAACTGACCGACAAAACCCGACCAAAATGAGCTAAAACGGACCGAAACCGGTACACACCATGACACCAACCAAATTAACTGAATCAAAACCGACTGAAACTGGCTCAAGTTGTGCGGTTCGACTCTCGGTTTCACTTTTTTTTGAAACCGAACTGATGAACGACCGCAACAGAAACAATGGTTAAACAATTGTAGTCTTTTCATGAAACAAGGTTAAACAATGTATGGGAATGGTTTCACTAAAAACTTATTCAACTTTTTTAAATTTGACAGCAAAATAACACATATGTGGTATGTCTGAACAAGCACATTTTGAAGTGAATTGAACGCTTAAGGATGTTTGTAGTTGGATTGGTTTCAATCCCAGATCAGACTAGTCTTTGACAGTTGTAAAATACACATAAACATCTACGAGACAAGACTAAACTAAAACAGACCCAGCTAAAAACTTGTGTAAGCTATTAAGTAATACTCCATCTCTCTCAAAAAAACTGTGTGATTTGAAATGAGTTCGAAATTCACAAATAATATAGAAACATACTAGTATAATGAGAAATCAGAAAAATAAACCCAAGATAATATCTCTAAATTCACCTCTAAAAACAAAACCTGGAAGAAGTACATTTGTAAAGCTCTTTTAACAACACTTCGACTCTTCGAGTGAACCTAAAAGAAACTATTTGTTCGAAATACTCCTGATTTTTATCACTATATTCACTATACACATTTTTAGTAAATAATCTTTATTTTTTCAGTGTAACAGAAAAAGTAATAAAGTAACATATCAATATATTTTTACGTTTTCTAAAGTGTAATCAAGCTACATAACCAGCAAAGCAAAATTTACTTACAAAAACCCTGATTTGGTGAAGTTTAGATACCCATAGATGGAAAATGAGGTGGTTCTCCATGTCTGCGTACAGAAAAATTTCCGTTAGCAAAGGTATAACTATAACATGCATAAATTACCAGAGACACAAGAAATAAGAATCCGGCGTTGACTCTTTCACCTTGACCAGAAACATGGCTGAGGGACTGGGCAACGATCGAAGGAAATTGAGGCAGATGACCGTGAATTAAAGGAATTCTGAGAATGGCATCCAACCGCAGTTGTCTCTCAACCAAGATCATAAAAAAATTAAGACTCTTCTCATTGAAAATAAATGAATATATCACCATTGTAATTATTCTTGGTTAAGAAATGGTTATACCATTATCGAAATAATTAAAAAATCACAATTACAATTTCTGAAAATAATGGAGTTTTTTTCCGTAATACTGGTGGAATAATTTCCAAAATACTTCAAGTGGCGGCTCTTGTATTACTTCACAAAAGCTGCCACTCAGAGTGGCGGCTCTTCTCTTATAGTACTAAAACCGCCACTTTAAGTGGCGGCTCTTCTCTTACATCCCATTTTGTACATATATAAAACGCAGTATGTTTCAAGAATTTGTTTAACTACTTTCCCGATTGAATTTTGAGCTGAAATTTAGTATGACAAAACTAGACTTGATGAGGAACATGTTCAAAAAATTTCATCAAAAACTTCCACCGGAAACGCCCTCTGATGGTGTTGTCCGCGGGGGGTTCCGGTCAGGACGTCATGACAAAAGGGTGGTTCGGCCACCTCAATTTGAGGTGATTCCTGGTGGGATATTTTGCTGAATTTTTGTGTGTATGTTATTCATCAAGTCTAGTTAATCCATATCAAATTTTAGAATCAATCTCAATCGGGAAAGCAGTAAAATGATTTTTTAAATATAACTGCGTTTTATATGTATAATCCGACGTAGTTATCTTTCAAAAATCATTTGACGACCTTTCGGATTGAATGTTTTGCTCAAATTTGGTATGACTGAACTAGACTTTATTAAGAACATGCACAAAAAAATTCATCAAAATATACCACCGGGAACCACCTCAAATTGAGGTGGCCGGACCACCCTTTTGTCATGATGTCCTGACCGGAACCCCCCGCGGACAACACCATCAGAGGTGTTTCCGGTGGAATTTGTTGATGAAATTTTTTGAGCATGTTCCTCATCAAGTCTAGTTTATGCATACCAAATTTTAGCTCAAAATTCAATCGGGAAAGCAGTTAAACAAATTCTTGAAACGTACTGCGTTTTATATATGTACAAAATGGGCCGTAAGAGAAGAGCCGTCACTTGAAGTGATGGCTTTTGTACTATAAGAGAAGAGCCGCCACTCGGAGTGGCGCCTTTTGTGCCGGCTTTTCTTAGCCGTGGTTAATTCCAACAGTATTTTGGGAATTATTCTTAACCCGGCAGTATTTCGGGAATAATTTATTTAATTAGCATTATTTCAGTAAAAAAACTCAAATAATGATTGTGTCATTGTGCGCGTAAGCCTAATATTAATTAGTTATCCCATATATCATTGTAAAAATACGCGTTAAAAAAATCTATCAAAAATATACCAAGTACGTAGTTAATATGCTTTCTCTCCGTAAACTTTTGTTTTTTTGAAGGAAACTCTGTAAACTTTGCTTTTTATTATACCAATTTCTTATAGTATTCCTTTCAAAATAACAGATTTTCTCTCTTTGTATACATTTCACTTCTTCACTTTTTAATTCGCATACTAATCAAATTTGATAAAAGAGGTTTTTTCAAAAAACTTATTAAAATCAAATTTATTTACAAAAATATGATTAATAGTTAATATATTATGGTGTCATGATCACTTAAGTGTAAAAATTTAAACATAGTTATTATGATTAAGTTACTACTATAACAACTATACATAAAGCATCACATTTTTATAAATAATTTTTATTTTTTCAGCGTAACAGAAAAATAATAAATAAAACTTAAACATATAAATATATTTTTACATTTTAAGAAGGTGTAAACAACTAAACAAAAAACATGTTTGGTAATACTGAAATTGACTGAATCGGTTGAATCTACTTAAATTGATAAAATTCTAGCTAAGTTGGCACAATATGTTGAACTATGAAAAAGTTATATTAAAATATACTATCTTCCGTATCGTATTAGTTGCAACACTGGAATTATACACTATTCATGTACTCTACTTTGACTACATTTTATTTATTAACATATGTGAATTATTATTTTTTTTGAAAAATATTTTTGAATTCGTCTCATTACAAAGTTTCATAATTTGATTTTTAATTTTTTTTACTAATAGAGAATTAAATATAATGACAGTCAAAGTTGTGAATTGCAAACGTGAAAATGACTAAAAAAGAACGGAGGGAGTATATTATTAATGAAATAAAGAAAAAAAATTATGAAAAATATATGAAACGACCGTCTATAGTAATTTCAGCCAATTCATTAGAAAAGTAACATCAACCTTACTTGTTTTGAGTTTTGACTATTCAATAATTCAAAACACGAAATCAAAAATTACATATTTGGAGAAAAAAGTTGTCTGGTACATGACTAATAAACTAAAATTTCGGACTACCAAATAGGCTCAAAATAATTATAATCATAACCAGACAATAAAAAAAAAATAGTCTACCCATCAATACAACTACAATATTGAGTAAAGGAAATACACACAAATATAGGTCTAAATAAAGGATTTTTGCTTAGAATAGTACTCCCTCCGTCTCGAAATAATTGTCCTGCTTTCCTTTTCGATCCGTCCCGAAATAATTGTCTCCTTTCCTTATTTGGTAAACAAATCTATACAAAACAGTGTCAAACAGTGCAAAACAGTGCCAAACAGTGTCGCTACAGTGCCAAACAGTGTCGCTACAGTGTGAAGCCAACTTTATTTTCTTAATTTGTGTGAAGGTCAAAACAGGACGATTATTTCGGGACGAAGGGAGTACTAAACTAAAGTCAATTTTCAAAAATATGACTAACAAAGTTATACATTTGAGAAACCATGATGTCATTGCCAAATTTTTATGTTACTATCATATTTTTATGTGACTGTTATATGTTATAACCACACTTTTATGTCACGTTATGAAATTGACTGTTTTGTTTATATACCACGTTTTTGAGAGACTTGAAAAAGAAAGTCACTAATAAAGCACATGTGGAGGCTTCAAGTCTTCAATATGTCAAGCATATCTCACTCAAGAAATCTCCACATTATCTTCTTTTATTTTGAGCAGGATGTGATTACTAAAAGAAAAAGTCTAACCCGAAATGATGACATTGGCAGGACTCATATGACAATGTAGTTTCTATTTCAATCGTCCAGGTAGAGGTAAAGGGGCTGCGACGTATCGCTACATTTTCGGAGAAGACTTTCTGACTGCTTATACTTGCATCTTAATGAACTCTCAAGAAGCACGTTTTTGAGAGACTTGAAAAAGAAGCACAGACAATTTAGTGAGTCATTTTTTGTTTGATCCTATCATTTTTTCAAGCCAAAAAATAGTAAGTCTTCATTTCCGTTGAAAATGATGGAATACTTTTTAGATAGAACTATTCTGATTAATTTGTTCCTGGAAACTGAAACTTTGGCTTAGCAGATTTAATTAAACCATGTGGCCGGCCATATTTGGAAACGGTATGATTTTGTACATACCCCATGTTGTACGTATTTTCATCAAGAATTTAAGTCTTGATGGGTAAAACAATCTGCAGCCAATTTGCAAGAAAACACAACAAATAGCAGATCATATAATAGCTGAACAAATGCATCATCAGCTTTACAAGGGCTTTTTTATCCTTTTGGGCGGTATACCACTCTGCACATTTAAAAAAACTAACCCATAATTTATATTACCAAGAATTTCCACATAACAAAGTAAAATATATAAGTCAATCAAAACAACTAACGTAAATAACTAGTCTTATACACGCCTCTATACCGCTTATGCAAACAGCTTATTCCTATATGTATGGCAAATGCCAAAACTAAATCAAACAATTCTGAAGTTAATATATAAAGAAACCACATGGCAAAAGCAACAGACAGAATCATTCATGGCTGAATCCTGAAGGCAGACATGTTTAGAAATATTTTTAGGGAAGCTAAGTATCAAACTCTGTCATCCATCAATGAAATTTTTCAAGAAGGGGTTATGCATCTACCAATTTCCAACACCTCTCCACATTTTCTTTTGCCTTCTGTATCTTCTCTTGGTTAAACTTGAGTTCTGTGGTTCCTGATGTACCAGGTTGTATCACCCTCTCATAGTTTCCGCATCTACTCCAGCTTCCTATAGATGATAAATGATTAAAAAACAATTTGGAATATATGATAAACAATATTTTTTACAAAATTGAATTCGAACTTACCCTATTGTTCTAGAATAATTGATGCCAGCAAATGCAACCAGATCTTACTTGGTACTCCTTCCGTCCCCATGTTATTGTCCCATTGCGGTTTACGATGCTTGACTGACGATAAAGCAAACAGATCCCTGTCCGCACTCAAATTATTTTTAGGAAAAAAAAATTACATATTCAGAAACTACATTAAAAGATTTACAAAGTCGCAAAAACCAGAATCAAATTTGTTAAAATTTGATACATAAAGTACATTAAGAGATTAAGAGTGATTTGTGTTGACCGAGTGAATAGGAAATGGGACAATAACAGGGGGACGAAGGGAATATTTGTTAAGATGACTCATTTACACATACTAATAAACATTAGAAGCATGTGAGTGAAGAGAACTGTAATTGCAAGGCCTTTGAAGAGAAGAAAATCAAAAGTTAAAAATGATGTTAAGTTTTTATTTCAATTAAAAATAAACTCACGAAAAAGTTAGCAGGGTTAGCTTAGGGTTCATTTTTATATACTCCCCCGTATCAAAATAAGTGTCTTATTTGGTTTTTCATGTAGTTTAACAAATGTTATATGTTTATTGATCACTTTACAAAAAGTAAGAGGTTTTTGGTGTTGTAGCAGTATTGTATAGTGTATATACTTTATTAAAGTACTCCCTCCGTTTCACAATCTTTGACACAATTTGACTTGTCAAGAATTAAGGAAAAAATGTTACTGAGAGGTAAATTTTACTGTAGAGTACACTGTTTGGCACTGTTTGAACACTGTTTGAACACTGTTTGAACACTGTTTGGCACTGTTTAACACAGTTTTGCACTGTTTTGGTAAAAATTTGTTTACCAAATAAGGAAATAAGGAAGTGTGTCATTGATCGTGAAACAACCAAAAAAGGAAAGTGTGTCAAAGATTGTGAAAC